AAATGTTTTTTTAAATAATCACATAAAACTTTGTAACTTTACATGGATTTTAAAATCAATTATAATTTGTACGAGTTAAAACTTTAAACTTAGACGGTAACACCATTTAAAAATAATTATTTCTTTTATCTATTTTTTTTTCATTTATTCTTTTTTATTCTCATCTTTTGTTTTTCGTTTATTATTATTTTTCTAATACTTTAAAATTAAAATAAAAAACTTGTGTAAATGCACAATTATAGAGTTTTGAGAAGTCGTCCATCCTGACATTGCTCAAAGCCACTACTAATACAACTTTATATATAATATAATTCTTAAAAAATATATTTTTTAATAAAATAATATTTTTAAAATAAATTTTTAAAATATAAATAACACATTATCTTGAATTCTATTCACCTAAGATGACACAATTACTAAGAGTCATTACCTCTGATTTTGCAAAATTCATAATAAATTCTGACTTCTTTAAAAGTTTGATAAGTGAGTGCCTCAGAATATAACATGTAGTGTGATATAACATATCTTTAAAATATATACAAACAATATGAAGATCAATAGAGAAGACGAAAAATATTAGTGTGTGTCTTTAAAATACTCAAATCTTTAAAAAAAAATTGTTCATATTTTAATGAATCATGCAAATTGAATAATAAATAATAATTAAATAAAAATTAAATTTGAGTTATATATATTAAATTTTTTATTCAAAATATGATGAAACTCACATTTAATCAAGTTTTTATTCTAAGAAACAAAACAATAATAATACACAATATAGAGATATGTTTGTTAAAAAAATGAGAATTATTATTCAAACAAGTTTTATTTTAATATTTACATTAACGAGAAGCAAAAATAAGAAAAAATCTAAGATTATTTGATGTAAAAAGAAATAAATAATATTGTTATATTTATCATCTTCCTTAAGTTTCTCCTTGTGCAAAGTATAACAATGACATGATAAAATTAAAGATATGACATAAATCAACTTTATGCTGAAAGAGTGTCCCATTCTTTATGGTGTTTTTCATCCTAATATATAGTACCAATTTCTATAATAAGTTTAGTTACTATAATTTTACTACTTGTAAGAATTATAAGTAGTTAGTTTCTCAACAACATAACAAGCATCCACTTTTATGATATCTAGTAAGTGTTGAATAAATTAAAATTGATAAATAAATATATTTGCTCAAAAATTGGGTAATTTTAATTAAATATTTTGCCTTTCTTTTTTAAACATTTCAATGTAAGAAAATTTTTCAATAAATTCAAAAAAAAATTATTTCTTAAGTTATGGTTTCATAAGAATATAGTCTTTTGTATCTTCCCACATTAATCTTTCTTATTAACACCAAGTCTCTCTTAAATATTTTTAAGAATTGAGAGTTTTATTAATATGAATGAGATTAATTTAATTATACGTTACTATGAACTTTTGAGTCATGTACATATGAAAGTGTTTTAAATTGAAAATTTGAATATCCTAATTAATATAAAAAAAGCTAATCAATTATAGAATATAATATACACTCATAAAGAATTTTTAGAGCTAGTAGCTAACTATATAGCACAAAAATATTTTCTGGTGATTTTAATAAAACGAGAGAGGTTTTCCAAATAACTAAAAATGTGTGTGTGATTTTCCTTAGTAAATTTGATAAAGAGTCTTAAAGATTTACAGAGAAAGATCATTCTACACAGACTCAACAAGCTTTCACATTTTCTCTCTTTCACAACTTTGAATCTTTTGGTTCCTTACCACATTATCTTTGACTTTACCCTTTCATCAGAACCTTGAATCTTCTTTTGATGAGGCTTGAGATAACTCTTTAAGATAGACACAATCATCAAACATAATACTTGATAAGATATCTTCATTGACTTCACTTAATGCCGCTTGACATAAGGGTTGTGCTGGAGGAATAGGTCAGGCTTACTAACAAGGGCCTACAACCAACTAGCCGACACAGACTTAGGCCATACCATGCTTTTGTTTTTAAATACAGAAGGCCTAGTATTTTTTAATATATATCTATTTTGATAAAAAGGCTAGGTCATAAGTCATAAAAAATTATTTTAAACCTATCAACCTGGTCTATTTAAATAAACATGAATAACTTTATTATTATTATATTACTTATGGAAATAAGTATAAAAAACCTTATGAACAATGTCATTGGTCGTTGTTATAAATTGTTTTCATAAGTTCTCTCAAAAAAATAGTATAACAAAACTTATTCTAAAAGGTAAACTTAAATGACTGAATAAAAATAAACATTTAATATTATTGATCTTTTAATTTATCACATTCTGGCTTCTTTAAAAATTTGATAAGTGTGTGTCTGTGAATATAATATGTAGTGTGATATAATATCACTTTAACATATATACAAACTAGGGGTGTTCGCGGTTCGGTTTGGATCGATTTTAAAGCAAAAACTCATCCAACCCAAAGATTAATTCACTTAAGGTTCGGTTCAGTTTTGGATGATATATTTAAAAAAATCCAATCTGATCCGATCCAATTTTATGCGGTTTAATTTAGATCGGTTTTTAGATATCCAAATTACACATTATATTTTTATTAATATTATAAAACTACTAATACATCATAGATTTGATATAATATATAACATATAGTATATTAAAAGTTAATATTACAAAATGAGAGTGATTGATTATGCTTGAAATAATAAAAATAAATAGATTATATCAAACTAATAAATATTATTAAAAAAATTATTATCATCTAATAATAAATTCACATAACATGTCATACTACTAAAAAGTAAATAAGTATCAAAATATATTTATGCGGTTCGATTTGGTTTGGATCGGTTTTGAAAAATTCATCTGAAATCCAATCCGAACCAATCGGTTTTCATAAAATAACATCCAAACACAAACAATAACTTTCAATTTTTTATGGTTTTCGGTTTTTTAGATCGGTTTTTGGTTTTTTATTTGGATTGGTTTGGATTTGAACACCCCTAATACAAACAATATGAAGATCAATAGAGAAGACAAAACATATTAATGTGTGTCTTTAAAATACTTAAATCTTTAAAATAAAATCATTCATATTCTAATGAATCATGCCAATTGAATAATAAATAATAATTAAATAAAAAATAAATTTGAGTTATATATATTAAAAAATTTATTCAAAAATTGATAAAACTCACATTTAATCAAGTTTTTATTCTAAGAAACAAAATAGTAATAATACACAATATAGATATATGTTTCTTAAAAAAATGACAATTGTTATTCAAACAAGTTTTATCTTAATATTTACATATACGAGAAGCAAAAATAAGAAGAAATCTAAGATTATTTGATTCAAAAAGAAATAAATACTATTGTTATATTTATCATCTTTCTTAAGTTTCTCTTTGTGCAAAGTATAACAATAACATGATAAAATTTAAGATATGACATGAATCACCTTTATGCTGAAAGAGTGTCCATTTCTTTATGGTGTTTTTCATCATAATATATAGTACCAATATCTATAATAAGTTTAATTACTATAATTTTACTACTTTTAAGAGTTATAAGTAGTTAGTTTCTCTAGAACATAACAAGCAGTCACTTTTGTGACATCTAATAAGTGTTGAATAAATTAAAATTGATAAATAAAATTATTTGCTTAAAAATTGGGTAACTTTAGTTAAATGTTTTGGCTTTCTTTTTTAAACATTTCAATGTAAGAAAAAGTTTCAATAAATTCAAAAAAAAGTTATTTGTTAAGTTATGGTTTCATACAAAAATAGTCTTTTTTATCTTTCCAAATTAATCTTTCTTATTAACACTAAGTCTCTCTTAAATATTTTTAAGAATTGAGAGTTTTATTAATATGAATGATATTAATTTAATTAGACGTTGCTATGAAATTTTGATTCATGTACATATGAAAGTGTTTTAAATTGCAAATTAAAATATATACGCACAAACATTAAGAAAAAGAAATGTTATCGATTAATTGTTTGATTTACTTGCACAAATTTTAAAATTAAAAATCCAAATAATCACTCAAATAAAGAACATGCCATTTGAATTCTAGATCTAGTCTAACTCACATTGTCAAATAGACTTCTAAAGAAGTTGAAAATCATCTTTAAAAAAATAATAAAACTAGAAAAAAGTAACTTATGTAAACAATATATATTTAAGGAAGATTACAATTTTTCACAATGATCAATTACATGTAAATATCAACGTTTTATTAGACGTAACTCAGGAGTGGAACTCAACAAAAATGATTTTAGACAACAACGAAAACCACAACACAAAGTTTGGAATCTGTTGCATAAAGCTTAAGGAGAAGGTTTTTCAATCGTGGAAAAAACAATTGTTGCCTATTTCTTTCAAATGCAATTTTGTATTTCTAACCACGGAGTCTAAATACCATTGCATTAAATATCAAAAGGCCGGAGTTCTATTTGTAATTTTAGAATTGCAGTTATCTAATAGCAACTTAAAATAATTGTCTATAAAACATAAGAAATAATAAGCAACATATTAAAATAGTAGTCTAAGTTGTCTTAATATTTAAACAAAGCAACTATAATCATGCCTAAAGCATAAAAAAGGCCACGGTTTTTATTAGTAACCGATACAGTGCGTGACATATAAATTGATGAAAAAGTCACTAATACTGCATTTTTATCATGCAATTTAAATTTTTTAAAATATATTCAATATTTAATTTTCTATTGATTTATATGGTGATATATTTGCAGGCACATATCTTAAAATTATTATAATAATTTATTTATAAATATAATTAAATACGGAAAAACACATTTATGAACTGAAAACATATTATAATATAAAGTATTAATAAGATAAAGTGTAATAAATTCTTTGGAATGTGAAAAACAAATATTTTCAAAGCGAATCTAAATAATATTAATTATAGTTAACTTATGTAAATTTATAAAACAAAACATAATCGTTCATGTTTGAATCAATAGAGGTCTTTATCATATTTATAGTTGAGGATCATGAGAATCGTCATTTTGAAAATGATCATATTCAGAATCGTCATTTTGATCATATTGAATATCATCGTCAACTTGATCATATTCAAGATCATTTTCATCTTGATCATAATGAAGATCATTGTCATCTTGCACATCGTTATCTTGTTCATCTTGAGGATTGTCTTCGTTTCTAATTTATAAATAAAAAGAAAAAAATTATATCATTACTCACTAACGAAGTTACACATGTACAAATATTTACGGTGATATATGAGATATATGATTGAAATATACATAAAACTAAAACTAAGTAGTACATTATCAAAATACATCATGCTAGTGTGATGCTTATTTCTTATAGGTAAACACTATCAAATGCTAAGAATGCAAAACCAAAAGATAACTCATCAAGCATTAAACATGCAAACAACTTTATCCTAACCAATTAATGCTCTATATTGGATTTCCCGTAACTAATACTAGTATTGGTATTTGCATATGAAACATCGTCACAAAATAAACATTGGAGATAAATTTCCATTTTCTCTACTTCTTTTTCTTAGTTTCTTAACTACTTTTCATTTTATTATATTTAATTTTTTTCAAATGCCTTGGTGCATCGATACTCATACGCCTTAATAGTAAGCATATAAAATATCAACAGTGGATGGTACTTACTCTCAGACATTTCCTCTGATTCTCACAGATTAAAGTATCACCTTAAACACATTGTTTATATACACAACATTTCACAAGACAGTTGTTACAATTCAATCCTAAGTGAAGACGAAACAAACAAAATCACATGAATATTACTTTAAAAAGACTTAATGAGTGCATCAGGTCTTGCACTTAAAGAAAACATCACAACACTTGGAAAATCAGCATTGGATTTCTTGAATCAAGTCTTGCACTTAAAGAAAACATCAAAACACTTGCAGAAAAAATCACAACACTTGGAAAATTAGTTTCTACTACAAATATGTTGAATGCAACATCTTCTTTCATTCTATATGTATCACACTTCCTCTCTCATTTTCAATCAAAACACTAAAAACCCGCAACTCAATATTTAATAAAATAAATGTGGATTTTGATTAATGTCAATTATAGTATCTTTTGATGTGAAGGAGCGAAGATTGATGTCGATGAGCGTGGTGTTAGAATATTTTCATTATGCAAAGCTTCTTTCATCTTATCATCTACTCGTTCTTCACTTAAAAGTGGATTTTGTTGCATATATATGTTTTTCAAAAGTGTCTTTATTGCTCTCATCTTTTGTGTCATGTTAGAAATTTTACAATCATATTGAATTTTTCATTAAAGAAATTTATTTTCTTTCCAACAAAGATGGTTTGACAATTCTCCCTTAACAATGCACTCTATCAAGCCTTTCTTTGCCAGACACTAATTAAAATAGTTGTGTTCGAGCTTCAATTGAATTTCAATAGATTCTTGACGTTTATCTTAATATATCATTCTATAAATTTCAATCAAAATTAAATATTACATGTGCATTTAGAATGAATATTATAATTTAACTTACAATAGGAAATTTGGTTTTCCCATCCACTTGTTTTCTCTTATGACTTTTTCGAGTTTCAATAAACATTTTGGCTTGAGTAACTTTTTATCCATCCTTGTTTTCCTCCTACATTATTATTTATATATATTAAAAAAAAACTCACTACTACAAATAATACTTCTAATATCGGATGCGAAAAGCGTTGTACGTCGGTAACAGAAACAAGATAAATAAGGTCTTCATGAAAAGTCTCTATTTAACACGTTTGTGTTTCCAAACCTGACATGAATAGTTATTTCAAAACTATTTAGTACAAGAGTTCAAACCCCAGGTGCCACACTTTTATGATATTCTAAACTAGCGTATCTTTTATCTCGTTTTCTCCAAAAACTGAGGGGTATATAAGATCTTTTTTTTATATTTGTTACATTTACATTTTTTATTCAGGATATTACATTGTTTAAACAAAACATTATTTACCCAGAAAATTATATTGTTTACCCATAAATTAAAGTTAAAAATCAAACTTCATAGGATGGTTTAAGATAAAAATCAAATTCTCTAGGATATCTTGTTTTCTTCAAGATGTAGATTTAGATCTTCGTATAATAGAATCTCGGGGAACATCTTCTATTAGATCTTACATGCAATGGTTTCTGATGAAAAAGGTAATTAATATTTGAGAAAACAATAATATAAATATCAAATAATGAAAAAATATTTAAGAAAACAAACCTTGAACCCAGATGATTTTCTGTGCTTGCAATCCATTATAGAGAACTTTTCCAAGCGTTTTTAGGTTTCAATCGCTTCATATATTTCATTTTGGTTATATTTCCTATCGTAAGACAACTTATATAGTGGATGTCCCTTAGGTTTCACGCGGATCACTAAAGGAAGATTCTTGAGCGTTGATAACCTTTGAATGGACGACATAGATTTTTTTAAGGTCGTTGAAAACAGCGAAAAATAACACTTAAGTATCATCTCTGTTTTGGAACATTGTATATTGCCTAACTAAACTAAAGCAATGCCATCTTTGAAGACAAACTCATCCAAAGGTATTTTCATGTCTTCTACTTCTGTAAAATTACGACCTGGACTATTCTGTGGGTGTGATGTCCGTATGATTCCGTACCAATGCAAGAAAGGACAAAATCAAGAAAGACTTTTTTGGACATGTCTATTTTGGAGGAGTGAACATTTAATTTGTTCATATGGTATGAAGACATCGTGGCAAAAGGTGGAAATGAAGATAGGAGCATGATGAAGTCAAATGTGGAAGCTATGTGTTATTTGAAAGTTATGTATGAAGATTCAAAGAAGAAGAACAAGACACTAAAGAACAAATTGAAATTAGAAAAATTTTATGGAAATTTAATGATGTTATGGTTTGTTATCTCCTTTATGTTTAATGTTTACTTTGTTATGAAATGTAATAGATGAAGTGGAGTTTGAATTGCATTGTTAATGTTATGTGAAAACTATAGAAGTAAACAAATCTATGTATTAAATAAATGGAATTAAATATCTTCTCACTTTTGGAATAAAACCTAGGGGTTAGTTCAACTAACCCCTCATTTTATTAAAGAAATCGATGGGTTAGATCATCTATTTTAGACTTTTTTACCAATAGAAACATAAAGTATCATAGATGGGATTCGAAGTTTGTCCATAATGGTATTTCACAGCGGTTTTCTAGATAAACGAGGGTTCAAGTTGTTTTTATTTTTTAAATAATTATATGGGGCGCATTGGTGAAAAACTTCAATTTTTTCTGGTTGATTTGAAAGCTTCATCATGAAAAGTGTTATTTGTTGTAGTGACTACTTAATAAGATATTAAAAAAACAACTTATTCTATTGAGAATCACACACAAATACCATACCATTTTTGAAAGGATCCTAGACTAGTGGTACCGAGGCTTGTTGTGTATCTAAAGGACCTGGTTTTGAATCCTAGATTTTGTATTTTTTCGTTAAATTACTTTATCTACCTTTAGTAAAACACAATTAAATAAAAATTAAAATTAAAAAAATTAAACTAATCCAAGAACATGGGTTTGAATCCCCATCATCTACATTTTAATTTAAAGGAAATTATTTAAATTCAAATTTTTAAACATTAAAAATTAAAAATCGTACTCTGTAAAAATAGCCCGCAATTTATACCTGTTGTCTTTTAACTCAGACATAACCACACACATAAAACCGTAGCACAAAAGGAATAAGCTACAATTATGTTATACCTACGATTTATTAAGCGTCGCTTTTAGTGAATAGACGATGATTATATTATGCACACACTTTCAAAATCGTAGCATAAAGTAAATAAATGAAGATTTTCAACCAAAATCTAGAAACTCGTCAACACCTAAAAAACCACAATTTATTATACCTTAAGCGACAGTTTGCTAGTCGTTGTCTATTCGTCTGTTGTCTAAAGTCATCTTTGTTCGAGTGAGTTACGATTTAGAGTATGGTGTATTTAGTTATTGAAAAATAATGATATTTAAGAATGGAAAATCACAATATTTTATATTAGGCATACATCAATTGAAAATAAGATGTAAATTATAGCTTCTTTGGATAACTAAGAAAATATAGTTAAAATAAACACACTTAATCAAGCACAAGAAAAAGCATTATCGACTAAAGTTATGAGGGAAATAATGTACAAGTATCTAAATTTCATAATAATTCTTCTAAAATTGATAAATAATGTTTCATTCCATGACAGACAATTAAAGATGGATGCAGTCTTCACAATATTGACCAAAATATAAGACATTTTCAAGTCATCTTTTAGATGTTATAGAAGATGTTAAGCTTCAAGGTATTTTTGTAAGTTCAAAAATTGAAATTCTGGGACAACAAGACAAATGTCAAATAGAATGTCACAACACTAGAATGTAAAAATGCAATGTCGAGTACAATGTTAAGACATCATAATGACAGACAGAACACTAAATAATTTAAAGAAATCAACAGGAAGAAAATAACGCATATCAATCATTAACCCAATTTGGTGAAACGTCTCCTACATATGGGGGCATCCAAGCTATGAAGTAAATCCACTATAATAGCATTAGTTTGAAGTTCTGAACAACCCCTGTTTTACAAATTTCTCACCTAATCACTACCCATGCAATTTCTACCTAGGAACTCCTAGATATGAGACCCCTCTCACTTCCCCTTAGTCACACAACACTGACAATCACAATGAAAACAAAGAACAATATAAGATATACTTCTAATTAAACATAACACACCACTTCTTGACAGTTTATGATTGCTTTACAAATTACAACTCAAAACGCAGTCCATCTGAGTATCAAATTGATACATGAGAGGCTCAAAAATAAAAATGAACAAACTAAACCCTAATATTTTCTTTCACATGCATAACCCTTTGCTTAGTTTTATAATCTTTCTTTTTATAGGTGTTATACCCTAATTTTTTCCATAAGATCCTCCATCATTTCAGGACATCGGATCAAGATCACACACTTGGGTTGGTCACCTCTTCTACTCTCTCTTATTTTTTTAAGTTTTCCCTTGGGGGATCACCAAACACCCTGAAGTTATGTATTATACATGTGTATTTAATGTTGACTAACCCTTGATTAAAATCCAAAAATATGTATGTATGTCTTTTTTTTTCTATGTACATTGTAGGTATAGATCCAAGTGCATCTCTCTTACCTTCCAAGCTAGGGTTTTAAAGATTGATCCTTAGTCAACTAGCTATTGATATTTAAAAGCTTGAACTTCAAGGCTATGTTTATCGCATAAAAGTTCTATGGATTGAGAACTCTCTCAACCTCATTTGGTCAAGTTTGTCTCAAAGTTAGTGGTTTGACTCATCAAGAAACTTCATAGTTTCATGTGTTTATTTCCATGACTTCTCTGACAAGTTTCATTAAGAAATGAGTCTTCTCATCAATTTTTCTTCAAGGAAACAACATTTCAAGGTCTAACGTGATTAATCATGTCCTAATCTGCCAGGAGAGCTCAAACGATGCAAACTTGACTCAAGTGGTCTGATCTAATTTGAATAAGTCATTGATTCTATGGTCTCAAGTGCACACCTCTCTCAATTTTCAATATTTTAAAGTGGTTATTTTTAATATGGAATCTTCTCATCATTTACAACAACCTATCTTTACATGACAAGATCTAATTGTTCAAGGAGAATCATCAAAACTTTGAAAAGATTACAAGTCCTTTGAGAAAACCATTAAAATCTTTGACTTGACTTCAAAAGATCATAACATGGTCATTTTTCATCTCCTTGAGCTCATTATTTTTTCACAACAAACTTGGGGATGTCTACTACAACTTTGATTAAAGGAGCAAGATCTAAAAATGCTTGGAAAGTTATGAAATTGATGAAACAATTATAGGTCATTTGTGGATTTCTCAAGAAATTTTCACCAGCCTTCAAGAATCACAACTCTCTCATTTTTCATGATTTTTGAGTGAGTCCAATTCCATAATTCCATTTGAGGAGTCTATTTCATTTTATCTTCATTGAAAACGAGCTGATTTTGAGTGGAAGTTCATGTAAGTTTGAGGAACATTATATGACATCTTGAAGCTCCATACTTTGAGATTTTTCTAAGTGTATAAAAGAGTTGGTTTTTCCTGATTTCAAAGAGACACAACTTTCAGCTCAAATGTTCAAATGGAAACTTTCTTGGCACATTGTAAACCTTGTGATGATATCTTTCAAATGTGACAAGAATTAGACCATAAAGCCTCTTGAGCAAGTTGCTCCATGGATTTAAAGATGGCACCTTGAAGATGAAACTTCTCACTAAGTCAGATTGCAATTTGATTAGTGTTCTTTCTAATGAACAAATTGATGTGTGATTTTTATCTAAACATGTTTAACAAACTTGTCTGGACTTGATTAAGCCTTGAAACACAAGAATTAAGTGAGTTTTGATGAATCACAAGTTACACTTTTCTCACCTTCGAACTACACACGAATTCACTCATTCTCGATCCTTCTTGCACGTATGAGCTCATGAATCATTTCC